TGAACTTTATTTGGATGAGAGAGAGAGAGAGACAGGGAAAGTGAGAAAGCAAGCTGCCACGTCCGGGATTCGAACTGCGATCCACCATGTGAGGTCCGGTGCCTCTAACCACCACACCACCTGCCGGCTGGTGCTGACTCTTTCTAAGGATGGTGTGAGGGGCTGTCTTTGTGTCCCAGGGAAATGCATTTCCGGGGTTATTCTGGTGCTGGGGAGTGGTCATGGGTCACCTGAAATGAGACTCGAAGCCTGTGGGCCAGCTAGGAGCAGGCAGGGCAGCTGCCCAGGCCCCAGAGCACCTCCTCTGCTGCCAGCTGGTGTCCATATTCTGCGGCGAAGGCCCGTTCTCCCAGCAGGTCAGCCACTGGCAGCCATGCTGGAATCAGGCGAGACTCCGGCTGCCCTGCAGGGCTGGCACAACACAGGTAAGTTTCGAAAGATGCGGTTTTAAGAGAGCTTCGCGGCCCTGACTTCCTGCATCCAGCACCACCTCAGGCCTGCTGCCCCATCACGTGCAGTCGGTTTACTCATCATCACCCCCACCAGGACGTCCACCCTGCCAGGCAGGACTCCTCTCTTTCTTTTTGTTTTGTTTTTCTTTTTTTTGGAGAGGTTTTTGCTATAGGGCGCGTACTCTCGCCAGAAAGAGAGAGACAGAGAGACAGAAAGCGAGAAGTCACCCCCTCCAGTGGGGGATGGTCACGCCACAATCCCTTCTCCTCCATTCTCCTCTCGGGATCTTGGGCACGCACGCACAGACGCCCAGCGTGAGTTCAAGCCACCAGGTCTGGGACTCAAACCACAGTCGACTACATGGGAGTGCAGCAACATAGCCGTTACGTCAACTGCTGGGCCCCAGGCAGGGACTCCTTTCTGATGGCAGCTGAATCCCAGGGCCTAGAGCAGTGCCTGGCACACAGCCTGCACACGGTAACTAGTTGCTGAATGCATGGAGAGGGAGGGGACCGGACTGGATTCCCAGAGGGACCCCGTGGGTTGCATTCCGCTCCCTGCAGCAATCAGCTGGTGTCATTTCTTCATCAGAATTTCCCAGAGTCTTCCCCCGGGCCCTGGACATCTGGTCACTGGGTAGGAACCGGTCCCCCCAGCTTCCCTCCCAGGATGACAAGCTCCCTAGAATGGGACTCAGGAGACAGGATGCTAAGGAACGCTCTGCCGCCTCCTCGCTGTGTGCTTTCGGGCAAGTCTCTT